GATGAAAATTAGCACTCCTTAGCTAAATCGGGTATATTTACATTGATTTAATGTTGATTAATGTACACTGTCCCCTTTCAAATAAACAATAAATGAAAAATGAAATAAATACAGTATGATGGAAGCAGCGCAGCCAAATGAAACGCCACAAAACTAAGAGAATGGATTGTTTGGAATAAATTTAAACAGTTGGAAAGAGGAAAATTTAAGTTTAGGCTATGAATGTAGGTTAGTTATCGTGATTAATTTTAGGCCGGCCTTAACAGCCCACCACTGCTGCACAGCCCTGATCAACCGATAAAGAAAATCCTTTACTTTGTACAAATTTAGATGATTACTTAGGTTACAGAGCAAGTAATAAAATCTGTAAACGATTAAAAAACTTTACATGTCATTTTTATAATTTAAAAGCTTAATTTAGAACCAGAAAAATTTAGCATAAATGATTCTAAACATTTCAAGACGACTCAGACAAAATCTTTAGTAGTTTTGTTTTATTTATATTTGTTTACTAGTTTATGAACAGCTATGTTTCTACATACCTTTGGATTGTTCTTTCCCACTTTGAGTCTAAATGAATAATAATAAATAGAGTGGATTTATTCATTATATATATATTTATATTAGTTAACCAGTGAAAATACTTGAGATTTTTCTATAACTGTGATTTTAGCCATAAATAACCTATTATAGGGCACTCATTGAGGTACTTTGAAAAAATTCAAGCCAATAGTTTTATTGGAATCCAGGACAAGACCTTATTACCTTTGTAATATTAAAAAAAATATGGATATTTTGACGGCAAAAATAAATGTCAGTGTAATAACAAGAAACACCAACTTGCCAAAATATATAGGAAAAATAATAAAAATTCTTCTATAAGAAATTCATGAAAAACCCTTTTTTTGGTACGACATTTTTAGTTTATAAACCTAAATATGATTGTTAACTAGGCTTATATACTTTTTAAATTTACTTTTTAACTTTTCAAATAGCTTTTTACCTTTTTTTTTGACTTGTTATCTTATTTGCAGTAGGTAATATATCATTAAAGGTACAGCCATGTAGCATGGTCTTTGCTGAATGGCTAGATATAGATCTGGTGCTTCTAGACCTCACTGAGAGTCGGGGGGGATTCTATTTGTTAGGGGTATGCAAGTGATCAAAAACACTAACTTGCCTGATAAAGATTTTAGGAACTCATGACAGATTTTTGTTTCTGTTAAAGAACAAAACCTTTTTTTTTACTCCTAAATAACTAAAAACCATCATATTTTTTTAGAACACATCATAAAGCAACATGAAGCACAGCTATATCTTGAGAAGGAAACAATATCATCATCGTGTCGACACTCACTCGCACTATAATCCCCATCCTTTTGCTCTCGTAGGTGAAGGGGAATATCTGCAGAATGGTGAAGTTCAGGATTTGGCCAGTAGGGGTCCTCAGCTGCATGGAGGATTGGTCTCTTCCCACCAGAGTCAGCCCCACGCTCTCTGTCCACTGCACCAGCGACACCTATCAACACCATGGGGGAAAAGCTTTAGAAGCAATAAAAGATGAGACTGTTTGTAATCATTTTGTTCCCTAGAGTTTTAAGAAAACAAAACAGAAATTAGATTAAAATGTGACCCCAACTTTTTTTTTTTTTTTAAATCCTCAATATAAAACATTTATGTCAATATAAAGTTCCTTTTCCTAAGTTTAATGAATAGCAGTTAAATCCATGTTTAGAGACGGGATTAAAAGCACTAAAAGCATAAAGCTTTCAATCGATAATGAAAGCATTTTCAGGACTTATTGATTGATAAACAAGGATGTCCATTTATGAAGAGAAAACATTTGCTTTCTGAAGGACGTTGGCATGAAAAGGGGGTCGAGTCAGATGACGCATCTCCTTCATGGTCGGCGGGTCGAGCGACTGAGGAGCCAAACGGAGGCTGATAAAGGAAGTCCGGCAGGTCTTCTCCTTATCAGGTAACAACAACAACTAAACAGCAGACTACAGTTCAAAAATGACTTTTAATGTAAATATGGGTCATGTAGTCTGACGAGGGGCCTTCTGATGTCAGTTGCTCTGACTAATAAACGACGTGTCCAGGTCGGTGGTTTGTA